TGTGTGTGTGTGTGTGTGTCTGCATGTGAAGATCTGTGTGTTTGTGCACTTATTTGCTTTGTGTCTGTTGTGTCAGTGAGTCCATGTGTACTCGTCGTATCTCTGTGCCTACGTGTGTTTGCATGTGCGTGTTTTCAGGGATCCGTGTGCAGTGTTACTTGTATCTGCGTGTGCTTTTGTGTTGACAGTGTGTTCTTGCGTGTGCGTGTCTTTGGGTGGGAAGGGGCTGATTCACCCCCCACTCTCACGCCCCCCCGTTACTGCGGCAGGGCCATGGTTGCGGCCCAGGCTCTGTTTTGGTGACTCACCCCAAACGTTGGGTGCCATGGACCAGCAGGTCCCCACCCACGGTCTGGGCTGTCACTAGGTCCTAGTCTGGCTGAGTTTCTAGCTGAGAGACTCTGTGTCCTCTACTCCCCTCCTCCAATGCTGGGACCAGCTGGAGCCGCCCACAGCCCACATGGAGCCCAAGCCAGGCTGCGGCCAGCGCCCAGGCCTGCTGCTCGAGACTGCTGGGAACAGCCAGGCCCCGGGGCCAGCGAGCTGCTCCACAGACACCCACTGCGGAGCAGGGGTGGAGGCGGGGGGTGGGGGGACAGCTTCTGAACCACGGAGTGCGCCCCTCTGCATGCTGGAAGGAGCTGCAAGGCGCAGGGGACGTGCCCTGCACAGGGCCGCTGCAGCCTTTCTGCCCGTGTCACCTTGAGCAGCTCGTGCACCCTCTCTGGGTCCAGGTTCCTCATTTACAGAACACGAGGCTGGTGCCAGCAGGGCCACAATACACAGTTGCGGCATTGTGCCCTGCACAAACACATCTGGCCGAGGTGACAAAAAGTGCTGAGAGCCAGCCCAGACGCTGCCTGGGGGAAGGGAGGCCTTTGTCTTCCTGGGGACTTGGCGCGTTAGGGCCTGCACCTGCGTGGGGCCCCCGCCTGGGGCGCGTCTTTTTCTCATTGTCGCTAAGGGGCTGCCCTGCTCTAATCACCTGGGCGGAGGGAGGGAGGCACCAGCCTTTGTGATCGGCCCCTCCCCTCTCTGGGCCAGCGTCCAGGTGTCCATCTGTCGAGGACTCTCCTCCGACTCTCCTCTGTCTCTCTGGGGACAGATCTCTGCCCCTCCCTCCCCCCGCACTCCCCTGCCCTCCCCAGTCCTCCCCTCTCCCTTAGGCCCCTCAATGTGGGACACAGAAGGGCCTGGAAGTCCTGCCCTAACCCCCTCCCCGTTTTATAGACCAGGTAGCCGAGGCCTAGGGAGGACTTGCAGCCACTCGCCCCCTCGGCCCACCTGCCCCCACCCTGGGTCCCGCCTGCCACACCCGACCGAGCACTTTCCCAGACAGCTCAGGCCACAGAGAACCCCTTCCAGGACGGGAATCTGAGTCCCAAGAGTAAAGTGCCTTGTCCATGGTGTCAGAGGAACTCAGAGGTTCCACCTGAGCCCCCGACTCCAGACCTGGCCCTAACCCCGCCACCCCTGCACCCCCTGCCCCAGCTCAGCCTCCTTTTCCCGGCCGGCCGCCCTGACAGTGGCCGCACACTCCTCTGCATCAGTGCTCTTTATTCCGTTAGGAAAGTGGCCAGGGAGTCCCGGTGGGGGAGGAGGTGGGGGTAGGGACAGTAGCTGCGCCTGTCCCGTGGGTGGGCAAACCTGTGGGGGAGGAACAGAAGCCTGAGTGAGGGGCTCTGGGGGTGCTGTGCCCTCCCCTGCCCCTGAGAGGCCCCTGATCTCCCAACCCCCTTCCCAGCTGGGGTCCCCCGGCAGGGCTTGTTTGACCCAGGCCCTGGGAGGCAGGGCTGGCCCACAACAGCCACCCACACAGGGGTCCACAGAGGTGGGGGTCCCCAGCCCCTTACCTGGCCTCAGGCTCAGCTGGGTGCCACGAAGCGGCTGCTATGAGGTGTGTCTCGGTAGAAGGGGTCGACTGAGGTCAGAGTTCTGCGGGGAGGGAGGGGCGAGAATGAGGGAGGGGTGGGGTAGGGCAGAGCCTGGACCTGTCTTCTGCCTGCCCGGGCAGCCAAGCCACAAACATTGTCTGCCTGCCAACTCCGGGCCACCGTGGGCACAACGTAAGTTTTGAGGAATCGAATGGAGCGGAAAGGAGCGTGAGGTGGGACCACAGTCCATTCATCTCTGGATCCGTCCTGCCCCTGCCTCCCACCAGGCCCGAGGCAGGTGAGGGAGGGGTCCCTGGAGAGGGAAGTGGACAAGCCAGTGCTGGCTGCGGGAGCAGCGACAAAGCCAGCTAGGGGAAAGGGGCCTCTCCGGGGGACAGACAGACAGACAGACAGAGGAGGGGAGAGGGACAGGGAAAGGCCTGCAGCAGGGCTGCGTGAGGCTGGGACCGAGGGGGAGGAGGACGGAGATGGGACAGAGCTGGGTGGGGGGTGCCACCTTCCCACGTGGGGGTGCAGGCGCCGCAGGCTCTCCGTGGGGTTGGGGGTGGCCTCCATGCGGGTGACCGGCTGGTTGAGGGTGTAGCCTCCCGGCGTCTGGGGCTGGATGCCCCCTCGAGTCCAGCCTTCCCGGTCCAGCCCCTTGGGGATGTTCTCAAAGTACCTGCGGAGGAAGCGTTGTTGGCCAGAAGCCAGCCTCCGCTCACCTTGCAGCCTCTCCTGCCTTCTCCCGTGGGGACCTCCAGCGTCTTGGCCTTGCCCACACTGTCCCTTCTCCCTGGAGCTCCCTAAGCGCTTGTCCACTTGGGGAGCTCTTACTCGAGAAGCCTGCCCTCCCCTGCCCTGAGCCCAGTGCTGCCCCAGGCACGCTGACTGTCGCTGAGCACTGGGGCTTGCAGTGACCCCTCCCTCCCTGCCTGCCTGCGCCTCGAGCGGGGACCCTGTCTCGTCCATGTCTCTCTAGGGTTCAGCTGCCTCCCATTTCACCAATATATTAGGGCCAGCTTCAGAGGGTGCAAAGATGCGTAAGATGTGGGCCCTGCCCTCGAGTTTACAAAGAGGGGGTGCAGATAGACCGACACGGAAGTCAGTGATTACCACCTTGGGGGCTCTGTGCACACCGGCAAGGACCTGCAAGTGCACCTGACACCCAGTGTGACACTGGACACACTGACACCTGGAGCGGGAGTGGGAGTGGGAGGCGGCAGGGATACCTTTGAGGACCAGGATTTGGAGGGGGACCAGTGTGGACACAGGTGACAGATGCCGTGAGGGGAACTTGGGCTTCCCAGCTCAGCGGAGTTTGTCCTGAGAATCACACTTCCTTTACAACACTCCTGTAATGCCCTCCCCACCCAGTGTTGGCTCCGGGGGGTGGGGGGGCTTCCCTGTGGCCCTAGGGGCCACCTCCTCCTAGAGCCCCTTCCTGATGCCCAGATACTCGCACCTCACCCCGGGCCCACACAGCACAGACGTTACCATCCGAGGGAGCACTGAGCCACCGGCCACGGCCTGGATCTAATGTCTTAGCAGATGTTGCTGTTGCTCCAACCCCCAGCACTCCCCTTGTCCTTCCCACGCCACTAGCCTGGCCACCAATGTCCTCACTGCATCTCTGTGGGAGAGCTGCGCTGGGGTTGCTGGAACCTGCTTTATCCGAGCAAGGAGGGACCTGGGATTTACTGTCGCCTGGGGATGGCTTCTAACCAGTGCTGGCGGCTGTGGGGTATAAATACTTGAGCTCTCTCTCCCTGTGTCTGAGCTAGTTCTGAGTTGTGTGTCTTACACCGTTTTCTAGCCTCCCTTCGGGATAGCTGGTGTGACAACACACCGGTCATTGCTGCCTTTCTTCCCCCACCCACTTCCCCACTCCCCACATGCCCAATAAAGTGCCTGCACTCGAGTCCCTGGCTTGGGGTCTGCTTCTGGGGGACCCAAACTAATTCTTCACAGGGCTGTAGGCTCATTACTTGACCCAGTCTCAGTCTATCTGTCTGTCAAATGGGTTTCAGCTTTGGCCGAGAAGGGGCCTCACCCTTGGTTGTAGGTGGTCAGGTACCGATTATCCCTGTCAGGGTCGTGGGGGCTCCAGACATAGCTGGGGTTGTTGATGCTGAAGCCTGTGGGCTCCTGCAGAGAGGGGCAGACAGGGCAGTTGTGAGGTCAGGAGCGGTGGGGGTTTGGGGGGTGCAGGCTGGGTGCCGAGGGCTCACCTTCTTCCCCACAGTCTCGCGGCCAAGCAGGGCAACGTTTGTCTGTTGCACCCGCTGGGGTGGCTGGAACTGCCGGTGGCTCGTGCTGCTGAGCTCTGGGCCGGGAGGGGGCACCTGCTGGGGACAGAGCCGCAAGAAGGGAGGCTGTGGCGGCCAGCTCGGGCAGAGGGGTGGGAGGCAGAGGCAGCCCCAGGGACCTGCCTTTCCCCTTCCAGCCAAGTCCGAGTTGCTGTTTCAGACACAGCCTCCCTTTCCAGCCCCCAGGCCTCACCCCTCCACCTGCGGCCCGACCTCCACGTCTCCAAATATCCAATTCTTCCCATGCTTCAAGGCCCGGCCCACACGCCACCTGGTCCAGGAAACCTCCCTGTCTCCTGCCTTCTCTGAGGGAGACGCGAGGTCACTCACTCTGGGGTTCAGGGTCCTTTCGTTCACTCGACTGAAGCCCGTCTCCCGCTCCGAGCCTCTGGGCAGCACGGGCAGGAACTCGTCTCCCTGGGGGAACAAAGCAGCCACTGGCACCAAGTGTGGCTGCCCCCCGCCCCCACGCTGTCCAGAGCCCTGTCCTAACTGCCATCCGCCCCCTACCCTCAGCAGGGCCCAGCTTCCCCCGGCTCAGCTTACATGCGGGTGGGTCATGGGGAGGAAGTCCGACTTGGTGACACTCCGGCCTGGGAGGAGGGTCTGAGAAGAGGCCCGCAGGGGTCAGCCCAGCAAGGGCAGCCCAGCTGTCCTCAGTGGAGCTGGCTGTCCCCACCCATTTTTCTCCAGGGCCCTGGGGCACTGAGCACGGAGGAGAGTGCAGCAAAGATGGGCAGAACTGGGGAAACTGAGGCAAGGGAAGAGTTTGGGGAGAAGGGAGAGGAAGTCCCTGAGTGGGAACCAGTAGGCCAGGGTTCTTGTCTGAACTCCGAGTGATCCTGGCTATGCCCTTGCATCTCTTCAGACCTCAGTCTTCTCATCTATAAAATGGGGGAGTTGGACGAAAGCAGTGGTTTTCCCCCAGGCTCTTTCACCGTGTGTTTGAACAAAGGGCTCTGCAGCTCACATTCTCGAAAAAGCTAGAAAAGCTAGAAACCTGGAGACTGGAGGGCCTCAAGCACCCTAAAGTTCTAGCTGGGCCCCACTGGACTTACAGGGTCCCCAGGGAGGGCCTGGGAGGGTGGCTGGAAGACGATGGGGTTCTCGTTGGACCCTTCGGTGAAGCCAGTGTTCTCCTTGGCCCCGACTGATTTCTTCTGCAAGAGATCTGCAAAAGACAGCGCCCTGGCCCACCCACGTGGCTTCCCAGGCCTGATGTCCCAGCAGGTGGATAGGGAGCTGTCTCCAGGGACCTGGAGACCTGAGCCATGGGGACCGTGCGCACAGGGAAAGGACTGCAGAGTCCAGGCCAGAGAACAAGGGACAGAGCGGCAGGAAGGGTGAGAGCCAGCAGGCCAGGAGCCACCGTGGCAGGCCAGGCGGCCGCTGGGCACAAGCTGCTTTGGCCTTCGGGGGTTGGCAGGCCGAAGGCGCTGAGGTCAGCCTGGGAGACACTGTTCCCTCAAGCCAACTGCACGGCTTGTTTCTTCCACTGGCACCTTCCTGGTCCTGTGCCACCTCCAGGCCCCAGGGGGTCTCTCCTTCGGGTAGGAAGTGGGGAGGCGGATCGGGAGGGAGGCGTGAGTTCAGACATGGGCTACCTGGCTGGTTTGATGGCTCCCTGAGATACTTGGAGTTGTACTCAGAAGTCATGAAGCGCGGGCCCTGCAACACAGAGGGGGGACAATGGGAGCCCGGGTGGCCCAGCGTCAGGAAGCCAGTGACGCGGCAGCTCCTGGGTGCTGTGTGCTCTAGCAGACCTGTGTGGCATGTTCTGGGACGGGAGGGCCCGCGTAGCACCCCAACATAAATCTCTCTCTGCTGGGCCATCACAGGGCCAGAAACACTGCCATGCGAGCACAGCACCCTGTGACAACGCATGCTAAGTCACATGCCGCAGTGGACGCTCAGTAATGAGCAGGGGGCCAGAGGGACCCAGGCCAGGAGGGTCGGTAAACAGGAGACAGGTGACTGACGAGGAAGATGACGCCCACTTCACACAGCCCTGGGCGCAGAGTGTCTGGACCGGGCAGAGGAGAGGAGGGGGCGGAGGCGTTAAACCCTAAGAAGCGGCGGCACTGTGATGCTGTTGGGGAAACATCCATATCACATCCCTTGCTCAGCCCGGTCTGTCTCGGTGTCGAGCCCAGAGTCGGCTTCTGGGGTGAGTCCCGCAGCACCTGTGTCCTGTGTCGAGGACGGAGGGGAGGCGGGTGTGGTCCCTCTGCCTGCCCTGCAGCCCTTAGCTGGGCGCCACTCACGTGTCGCCAGTTCTCCCACTCCAGCGAGTCCTTGCCCTGCCGCTGGTGGAGCAGGGGCCCGTCCCTGGGCTCCAGCCCCGTGATGGCCTGGGGCCCGTGCTCCTGGGTGTCGAAATGGACCTTCCTGACCTGGGAGGAGGGAGTGCCAATCACCCTCCGGGCAGGGGAGGGCAGGGCAGTCACTTCCTGGCCCCAGTTCTGCCCTTGACCTCTACGGGGTACAGTACCTGCAGAGCAGCAGAGTAGTCCCTTTACGGCCAAGCCGGTCACGCCCTGCTCTGCCCAGAGCCCTGCAGCCTTCCCACCGCAGCCACAGGGAGCCCCGCGTCCTGCCAGCAACCCGGGAGGACCTGGGCTCCGCACTCAGCTCCAGCCACCTGCCTCCCTGCTGTCCCCTCCAATCAGAGACTCCTGCCTCAGGGCCTTTGCACTTGCTCTTGGCACTGCCTGCCCACTCTCCTCTCAGGGAGCTGCGCCTGGAGGACACTAGCCTCCCTCGGGTCTCTGTCCAGGGCCTGCACGGCAAGCTCTTTCTCCACCCTCCCCGTGCACACTTGTGACTCTTTCACTTCGACTTCACTCCCTACTTCTCCCCAGTCGTATTTCCTCCCGGCTCATGTCACCATCAATATAAAAGAGATATTCAGGGCACAGTGGGTGAATGAGGGAATGCGTAGCCCTTCTAGTGGCGCAGTGATGAGGACCATGGTAATAGTGACGATAGAAAGGAAGAAGATGGGGTGATGATGACAATGGTGGGGGACACTGAGGGTGAGCACAGGGGGATGGAGAGGGTAGGGAAGTGGGAGGGGGACGAGGACAGAGGGGAGAAAGCTGAGTGAACACCACTCCACATTGTGGCTCCTCATGCCCTGTCACCTCTGCCATGACCGGCCGTTGGTAGTGCAGTCCCAGCCTGCTGGAGGGGCCCCCAGACCAACCCCCGAGCCCTCGTCCAGCCCAGCCTCGGGCACCCCCCTGTCCCGGCCCTGGCCCAGCACTGACCTCCTTGGTGGGCACGCTTGCACCGGGCTTCTCCCGGCTGTAGCCAGAGCCGGTCTGGTGCATGTTCCAGGGGAGTGGGTACTTGCCATCTGGCACCTCCAGGGGACAGTAGCTCTGACTGGTCACTGTCTGATAATTGCCCCGGACTTGTTCCCTGAGGGTGGGGCGGGAGCAGGCGCTAGGACCACAGGGCCGCCTGCCTTTGTCTTGGGGCTGCACTGCTTATGCCCAGGGCCTTCCCACCTCCCGCAGTTGCCTCGGGAGCCCTCCAGCCTTTGGGCCCAAGCTGGGAGCCAGGCCCCAAGTGGCCCAGGAGCCCAGGCCTAGGCCGGGCAAGGCTCAGGGTCCCCGTCCACGGAGCCCAGCCTTGTTCTGATGAGCACTGATGTCCCAGAGAGCTGAGGCTCAGCAGGGCTGGGGTGCGAGGGGTCACACAGACCATACCCCATGGCGGGGTTGTCCAGGGCGTCCAGACTGGCTTGGTAGGAGACCACGGGCCGGTAGTTTGATTTGTATCCTGTGCCCACGTGGCTGCCTGCTTGGGGCTTGAAATCCTCCCGGCCTGCCGAGGGGAAAGCCAGGACGGCAGGTCAGCAGCGGCAGTCAGGGGAGGAGCGAGCAGGGCTTCCCGGGCAGGGCTGGCATCCCCCTGGGGACCCCTAGGGTCTCTGTGACAGGGAGGACTCAGAGCCACGGGCAGGAGCTGAGCAAGCCTGGCCCATCAGGACTATGACAACAGGAAATGGAGTCAACAGGGTGGGGACTGGGTCGGCGTGGCAGTCACAGTGACAGAAATGCAGGGACAGAACGCGGGAAGGGACAGAACAATTCCATGTGATGGGATCACTCTGCAGTGTGACCAACCTGAGGGGCTGCACCTCCCAGAGAGGGCCCCTCCCTTCCTGTCCTGGGGGTGGCTCCCCCACGAAGGTGCCCTCACCGTAGGCTGTGCAGTAGCTGGTGGCGTAGAACTTCAGGGGGTCCGTGCAGCCCCCCGAACTCATCTTCACGTAAGGGGAGACAACCCCCAGGGGGAGTTTCCCCATCATGATGCTGGGGCAGGGCCCGGAGCCTGGGAGGAAGCACACAGGCCTTTCGGTCCCAGGCCCAGGCTCGGGGGAGCACAGACGTGGTGGTCGTCACCCTACTGAGGCTGGCCTCTTCTCCCAGGCCTCGGTCCCTCCCCCGACCCCCCGCCAAGCCCAGGAAAGACCGATCTCCAGCACTTCCCTCAGGGCTACTGTGTCTCGGTTCACCCTCCCGACCCTCCTCAGGAGCCTTCACATCCCATTCCACAGCGGGGAAAGTGAGGCTCCAAGTGACAAAGGATTTGCTCACAATAGGTGGAAGAGCCGGGTTCAGACCTAGGGTGTCTGAGTCCTCGGGCCTTGATCTGAACCATGACACCCCCTCCTCTCAGGGAATGAGTGACCTGACAACCTCCTACCCAGGGAATTCCTGGCCACCCCAGGAAGTCAGGCTTGGGCTCCTGGTCCCAGCCCCAGGCCGGCTATCTCTCCCTCAGCTCCCTCAGCCTTGCCTGCCTCCCGCTGGAAGTTGGCTCTGCTCTGGGACCCAACCGCAGCCGGCCCCACCCTCACCTGCCCTTCGCGGCGGCTCTGAGGTTGGGGAGAGGCTGCAGGAGGCAGGAGCTTCTCCAGAGAAGCCGGGGCCCTCCCGCACTGGCCCGGGCAGGAGAAACAGTGCGTTGCCTAGCAACTGGCTCCTAGCAACAGCGTCCTCAGGCTTCCGAGCCCTTCTAGGGCTAGGGCCCCCTGGGGGCTGACCTGGCCAGGAGGGGAGGGCCAGGAGCCGCCCAGGCAGAGCCGGGTCTCCACAGCTCCGGCCCGTCCCTGCCTCCGCCACCGGCGGGGAAGAGTGGCTGTCTGAGTGACGTGAAATAAAAGGTAATCCCAAACACTCACTCCCATTTATTGAGCACCCACTTCTCTCCAGACACTTTACATCCTTTATCTCTGTCCTCGGAGCGGCTCTTCCGGGTAGCTATTCTTATCCCTCTTTTCACTTGGGGAAAAGAGGCTTAGACGAGCAAAGTGACTTGACCGGCCGGAGATCTCACGATCAGAAAATAGCCCGCGTGAGAGTCAGACGTGGGCGGAGCAGATCCCACTCTTACGCCTCTCGGTAAATTAATGTTTACTACGTTCTGCCGAAGCGGAATCTGTGCTAAGCCCTTTACACACACTATCTCGCATAATCCCCCAAACTACCCTGTGAACTGGGTACTATTGTGCAGCCGAGAAACCACAACAGGTGAGAGTGCGGTTCAGATCTGCCCTGTCACCTTTGATGAGGTGTTGTACTCAATATCCTCTTAGCACCCTCGTCTCCCCGTCTGACGAAGGGTGTGACTGCCCCACCGCACGTGCGGGCTGCTGGCGGATGTGATGAGAGCGTGGGCCCGGCACCTCGCAGACAGTAAATGCTCACTTTTTAAAGGCCGCTGTTCTTTAGCCTCATTTTGCAGGTGGGAAGGTGAGGCTCACGGACAAGTAGCCCAGGCCCCACGGTGGGTGGAGGCAGAGCCTGGACCCAAATCTTGTGAGCAGACTCCGCGGTCCACGCTCCTTCTGTGACAGCCCGATTGCCTCAGGGTGGCTTTCAGGCTTGTAAACAGTGTAACAGTTGGATCTCCGGCTGGGCTGGGGGAGCCCTGATTTGTGGCATTTGCCAATATCTGGGGTATAAATACTCCCATCAGGGCTGCTGTCAAACCACCACCGCAATGTCACTGAATGGGGACTTGGGGAGGGAGCTCACCACCAGTGTTTCCACCGTACACGTATGACAGATGTAAGTCACCTCAAGAACACAAATAATAGAAAAATGTACAATATAATTAGGGGGTGATGAGTTTTAAGTATATATTACCTTTGTTTTTAATATAATCTATTACATTGTAAGTTTCAGTAATTTAATTTTTTAGAAATGGCAGAGTTTCACAACCAGCTTGCAAATTTCCTGGAAGTTTCGCCTTCAGCTCTCAGGAGCCGGTGTGAGCTGGCTCCAGGGCACTCTTGCTCTCAGGGGACAGTGAGGTGGGAATGGAGGGAGAGGGGGCCGCCCTTACCCAGGAGATGCCCTCACGCGGAGGTGTGTTGGGTGCCCACCATCCAGAGTAACAATTCTATTTAGGGGTCAGAGGCTGCAAGCACACAGGAGTGAATGGTCCAGCCCTGCCCTCAGCGAGGAGCTCCCGGCCTGCTGACAGAGCCCCATGAGCTCCATGTATGAAGTACAAGGAAGGGTGAGACGGCCGTAGGTGGGGACTCTCGCAGGGTGAAGGGAGAGAGCTGCTCTCATCAAAGGGCCTGGAGAAGCCGTTACAAGCAAGAGCTCAGACTCTGAAGCCAGATGGCGTGGGCCCTGGCTCTGCCAGTAAGTAACTAAAAGGCCTGGTGCATGTTACTTGTGTTTCTGTTTCCCCTGCTGGAGACGGAAGTAATGATGGCCCCTACTGGTGGGGTTGTGGTACACATGAAGCACTTAGCCCAGCACCTGGCACACAGTAAGTGCCATCCAAGAGTTAGAGAAAAGCCCTGGATAGAGGCGCTTTTGAGTGCTCACTGCCTGCTAGGAAAAAGGTTGGCCCCAAGGGTTGTAAGCAGGAATTCCACATGGCCCTGCCCACAGCCCAGGGCAACGCAGACATAGCTAGTGTCATGCAGCAAGAGAAAGCTCAATTCCAGAGCCGGAGCTCACAATCCACTCCTGCTGGGGTTCCAGGCTTCACCTCTCTGAGCCTGTTTCCGCACCTGCAGGCAGGGAATAACCACGCCCACCTCGCGGGGCTGCTGGATTTGAAATGCCCGGTGCACAGTGTCTGCAGGTCTTATCCTGCACCAGACAGAGATGAGGACGGGCACTCCACGTGGAAGGCGAAAAAGGCAAGGGCGGCAGGGAGGCTGTGGCCAGGTTTTCCTTTTAGCAGATGGTTGGGGGAGGAAGGGATGGAGAAAGCTTTGAAATCTTCTGTTAGGGCGTCCCTTAGGGCAGCTCTGGGCTGCAGCGGACAAAGGACTCTGGCAGGAATTCCCAGGGCTGCTCCCCCAGCCTGAGCCCGGTTACGCCCGGCAACTGGCGGTCTCCCAGTCAACGCCAGCGGCCAGTGTTTTTTTTTTTTGCTGTGTGGCGACACCTAGCGGCCGTCGCTCTGAACTGCAGGTGCTGCCCCAACCAGGCTCGGGGGCAGATGGCTCCATGCCCCGGCCAGAGGCCACCCAGCCTCACTCGCCTGCCTCCAGAACAGAAGGGGCCGGCTTGGGCAAGGAGTGTTCTGGGAGGGCAAGGGCTTGGAGACCACAAGCAGCAGGAGGCTAGGGGGTGCGCGCCTGGACGCAGGTCCCAGTGGTAACCGAATTGCTGGGTAACTCAGACCTTCCACCTGTAGGCCTCAGTTCTTCTACGTGTAACGTGAAGGAACAGACTAAAAATTCCTTACTTCTTTGAGTCTAAGTTGGAAATTCTGGGCCCCCCTCCTAAGCGTCCCCATTTATTAAGCACTTCCTCTGTGCTGTGCCAGGTGCTGAGTTGCAAGTCATCTCATCGCTTCTTGCTCCAGCCCTGCAAGACAGCAACTATTGTTATTATGCCCATTTTACACGTGAGGAGGCTGCCTGACATGCAGGAAGGAGTGGAGCTTTGACTTGGGAATCCACACCCTGCCTGCTGGAACATACTGGTAGATTCTCTGTAAGGTGCTGGGACTGTAGCAGTGGGCTCTAACACCACTTGGTCAAGTTCAGTGATTTTCCAAAGAGATGACAGGCCCTGGCCAGAAAGGCAACCTCCCTCTCCTTTTTCGGCCTGGCCAGTTCTGGGCAGTAAGATTCACTCACTTCCCTCCTATAAGAAGACAGGGGCTGCAGGTATGCCAGGGCTGGCCCCAGACACCAGCACGTGCCTCCCCTCTGAAGCCTGGAAGGTCAAGGCTTCCAGCGAGGACCCTTAGCGGGAACAAATGGGGCCAGACCCTAAAGGCCTCCGAGGCCGGAGTACATTTGACGGCTGAGTCTCAAAGGGAGACAGATATTTGCTCCCAGACAGACTGTGCTCTGGGCTGCGTGGGCTGCAGTCCCCCAAAGGAGCATTAACCCAAGCAGATGAGACAGCACACTACCAAGAGTGTGTTTTGTTTTGGTTGATGTGGGTCTTCATAGCTGTCCCCAGAGGCAGCCAGGGCTCTTATAAAGAAGAGATAGGTCAGCAGACTTCAGACTTCAGCTTAATAGAGAAAAAGCTTCCTAATACACTAAACTGTCTAATAGGCTGTCTCGGGAGGAGTGAGTTCCCCATCCCAGGAGGCATTCAAGCAGGAGCTTGATAGAATGGCAATAATAGCAAACTCTCACTCAGGGTTCATTGGGTGCCGGATACTGTTTCGAAGCACTTCCCATGTATTAGCACATTTAAATCTCACCATATTCCTATGTGGTGGGTAATATCAGCTCTTCCATTTTACAGACAAAGAAACTGAGAGGCTGCATAACTTGTCCAGGGTCACACAGCTGTCATTTGAACCCGGGCAGCCTGGCTCCAAAGGTCATGCTGGTGACCACTTTGGTATCACCTCATAGGTTGAACTAGAGGTTCTCCAAGCTCTTTTCAAAATCTGACCTTCGACGACAGTTTTTTAAAATTCTTTTCAAAAGCTCATCCCTTCTGCGGTCTCTCCTGTACCTAGTCCTTGGTCTGTGCTGGGCACTGCTGGGTGAAAAATTCACAGAAGAAAGGTTTGAAATCACCCAGATCGGCCAAGATGGTAAAGTGGGAAGCAGGTCCCTGGGACGCAGCTGACGGAACTGAGCCCTCACAGGCCCGGAGGCTGGGGTGGCAGGGACAGGGCACCTCGCTGTACTCATGCTTTTGAAATTCCCGTGTTGGAGGCCGGGGCAAGCAGGTGGGCCCTGGGGCAAGGAGGGGCCGGGGTTGGGGGATTGGATAGGATCAGGTGTTGCCCCCTGGAACAGCCTGGACCAAGCCCTTTCAGGCAGGAAAGGAAGAAGCAGGGCTGCTGATGTCTTTGGTGAACTGAGGTCACATCCTCTTCTTTCCGAGCCTCTTCTAGAACTTGAGTTTGAACTCTGGCTCTGGCACAAATAGTGCTGCGTGACTTTTCTTAATTAGCTGCCCCTCTCTGGCCCCGCTGCCTGTGAAAAGAGGGGGTTGAGCCAGAATAGGAGGTTTCGCTTGTTTGCTCAAGGCCTTGGAGCTCTGTCTTCAAATTCATATTGCAATGATGGCTGGCTCCACCGCGTCCTCTCCCCCCACACCCCACCGTCTGTGAGACAGCAGGCTCCAGCCTACCCCCCTTCCAAGGTTCTTTCCCTCCGCCTTGTTATAGGGGTGCATGGAAGGGAGTCTGCCTCACCCCAGCCCACACTCGGCCTGGCCCTCTGGGGCTGGCTGGACCTACACTGGCTGTTTCTCCTGGGCCAGACCCTAAGGTGTGTCCACACGCGGTCCTCAGAACAGAGCTCCACAAAGCTCTCGTTCTGCCCACAGGAAAGCTGTTTCCAAACCCAGATTCTTCTGAGCTCCCCCAAACCTCACCTAGGTCGGGTGTCCCCCGTGGTGTGACCTTTGGCTCCCAGCTGCTCCAGCGGACCCTCCTGGGGAACGAGTTGAAGCCGGGACATGGCAGGGAGGAGGTCATGGCTGGGAAGAGCCAACTGGGGGAACG